TTTGAAATCGTGTTTTAAGTAACTAATATTATGAAATATTATGTGAATTTGAGTAATTGAGTTCTAACATATGGTTTTTACTAGAATTGAAGTAAAACTATGCTTAGAATCATTCAGAAAGTATTGGAAGTCTTATGAGATTCCAATCAAATGTCAAATAGTGAAATTTAACGAAAATATAAAGTTTGAAATAAGTAAAATTTTATTATTCAAAGTTTTAGATAATCTTGTTAGAAACATTTGGGCGAAAACCTCATCGAAATCCGAGTTATAACGAAGAAGTTATGACCAATCGAAGATCCGCGACAAAACCGGCACGGTGCCGAATGACGTAAAAGTGAGTTTTTGTTGATAAACTACTTTTTAGCCTTAGTAATCTAAATGAAAGTCGTAGTATTCGTTAAACCGAGAAGTTCGATGAAAAGAACGCCAAAATCTGACTTCGTATTAGAAAGTTACGATTTTTCTAAGTTTCAGCTTAGCAGTAGACAACTAAAAACTTGAATTTTAGATCGAGTGATTTTTATCCGATACAACCTAAACGAGAATTGAAGATCTCGTCAATAGTAGTACAATAGTAAAAAAATCTGACGAAAACGGATGTCGGATGAAGAAGTTATGAATTTTTAACGGATTTTCCAGTCCCGATCTGTTAAAAATAATAATATTAAAAATAAAGTCAAAAATAACCGACGAAGTCTAAACGAAAGTTGTAGAATATATTCCCGCCTACGCGTGCATATAAAGAACGTAAAAAACGGAGCCCGTATACGAAAGTTATGGATTTTAGAAGATTTGGGCCCATTTTCCGAGGAATCTCGCAAGGATAAGGTCCGGAATAGGCCACGTCATCGGATCCTCGCATGCATACCCCGTGCCCGACATGCGTGTCACTTGCTGATTTGACCGAAGAAGTGGTCCAATGGCCTTCCGACGCGCCTCGCTTCTGACTCCGCCCCGTGTCCGAAGTGTTGGACCAATCCGAAGCCTGCACGCAGCCATCTCACATCCGAGCCTCGCCCCTTCTGCCATGTGTTCCGAACCTCGCAGCCACCTGCCCTCTCCCTCTTGCTTCGGATTCGAGGCTCGCACCTATATAAGGGGTGCGAGACCTCCCGGGTAAATGTTAGAAAATGTGTCTTTTTCACCCATAAACTTATATTTCTTCTACTTCCACTTCCCCTGAAGCCCCGGGATTATTTCCAACGCCCGAAACACGCCCCGAAGTTTGCCGAGAAGCCCGAAAAATTTATCTTTTCGGTTTTGAAGCCCAACCCTCGCAGGGCCCGATTTTCAAGAAAACTCCTGGTTTTCAACGAAGAAAGCTAATTAGAGTAACGAAGTGCTGCCCAAATTACTATTTTAACCCCAGTTATTTCACGATGAGTTTAATATATAGGAACAATTGTATGTTATGTGTTATGTGTTATATGTGCTATGTGCTTGTCAGTGTTATTATTCCGGGTTATTTTTCCGTGTTATTTTTATTTGCTATTTTTTTTAATATCAAAGTAATACCTTTGACCATGTGATCAGTGAAAGGACTTAGATTCACATTGGTACTGGTATGTAGCCTCTGGCCATGTAGAACATGTCTCCGTAAGAGAATGACTTCTATTCTATGGTATTGGCAGAAAGTTAGACATGGCTATAAGCCTGAAATCTACCAAAACGTTAAACTGAAGTTGTATGTCTTCTATGCCATTTGGGCCAAATCTTTATTGATGTATATCAAGTATGGAAATTGTTATGTCTCATTGATTGTATATCTTTGGATCAAATCAATGATTGATATGGAAAGTTTGTCACATGATTCACATATGCCTTTGTTGTTCCTTGTTCCTTTTTGCTTCTGCCATATTGAAGTATATATATGACATAACGTTATATTGTATCTATTATTGAACTCACTAAGCGTCACCGCTTACCCTCTCAATGTTTAACAAATTGCAGGAGATAAGCATCCAGTATAGTTATATACTAATAGAAGATTTTTGAATAGTTTGAAACTATTGTATTGATAGAAGATTTTCGAATAGTTTGAAACTATTGTATTTTGCACTCTCGTATGTATAAAACTATAGAATCCTGGGAAGTTATGTAATATATAACACTTGAAAATAGTTGGTTTGTATCCAATAGTTTGTAATCACCTTATCAATATAAAATATTGTTTTTATGAACATGCATGTAGCATGTTTCGGAGTAACAATTGTCAAGTATGAAAGTGTGGGTCTTTCAATAAAAAAGTTATAGATTCTATTTAAAATAGAATAAACATAATTACAAACTTTATTTATATAGCAAAAGGTTAGGTTGGTTTTAGTTGTTAATGTGTGTGAAATTTTGGTTTAGTTGGGTTACATAGGTGGGTGAGAGAGAAAAATAATTTTTTAATAGATAATTGAGTTGGATTCAATTGCTGATGATAATAGTCTAAAGCTTTAAGCTTGAAGACTTACAATGGTCCAACAGGTGCTCAAGAGGTTGGATCTAGCTTGCTTAATGCTTCCTTGCTTCACAAATACAATTCATTATCCTTCAAAGTGCATAAACAAGCAAAAAAGGCTCAAAACTTGAGAAACAATGCTAGTGGGATAATATGGAGGCTAGGGTTTGCTCTCAAGGGGGTCTCTGATAGGATGAGGTTGCACAATGACCTAAATCTCGGAGATAATGGCTTTAAATACGGGATAGAACCCTAATTTCTGGGGCTTGAATTGTACAAACTTCGCTTCACGACATCTCATAAGTCGCGTCGTGAAAGTTCGATCCAACAAGGCCTAAACCCAACTTAAGCCTAAACTGCTTTTCAGCCTAAAATTAACCCTGTAATCTGAAGTATTTTACACTTAGCCCAAAAACCTTATTCCTTTAAGGTCCAAACTTCATCCCTTAAGACCCGATACCTTCTGATGATTAAATTAAAGTCCAATTTTCCAAATAAAGAAACATCCCAAAATCGGATGTTACATGACGATACAATTTCCATTATTTCTTGAATTTTTCAAGAAACTCCACTACATCTTTTATGACACTGAAATCCGAGTGCTCTAGAACTTTACCCAGATCTCATGTACATGAAATATATATACAAAAATACATAAGTTACTAATAAAAAAAATTGAATTAAAAAAAAAAATTAAAAAGAAATCATTTTTTTTACCTTGCACTTCATATTCGACAGAAATCTATCTTAGTTCGACGGTCTTCTCAAACAACCGGAAGATTTAACCCTTAAAGAAGATTGACGACATAAAACAATAATGAGTTTGATCAACGAGATGAATATGTTCGATTTGAAAAAAAATAATAGTGTTAAAATCAATGGCATTAGGAAGGTTGCCAATAAAATAGTTAAAATCAAATTATTTTTTATAAAATGGTGTTCGGTTTGAAAAAAAATGATAAAATGATATATAATTTGGAAAAAATAATAAAGTGTAAAAATAATAAAAACTAATAATATAGAAACTTTCATGTTATTTTCCTTAATAAGAAAGGCAAAAAAATACCCAGTTATTTTTGGTAATATGTCTAACATATTGTTTAAATGGTAAAAAGAAATGTTCGTTTGTAATATTTAAATGACTAAATTTTTATGTCATATGGAAATTTATTAAATTAAATGATTGAAAAAATTATGTGTTATATGTTCATAAAAATAATAAAACAGCTTATAATTTCTATTAATTAATTATCATAATACAAATACAACTATTGTATTCAAGAATTTGATGAACATGTAAATGGGCTTTTTTTTTTTTTTTTTTTTTTTTATATATATTCTTTTAAACAATAGGCCCAAGTTTATGCAGTCCAATTTAACGTATAATATATAATGTGCCTACAGGCGATCTAGGGTTTACAATTCTCGGCTATTAGAACTTACGGAGCACCAGCTGCCGATACATTCCGACTGCAATAATGGTGAGTCACATATCCTCTATCAAGTCTCAGTCGCCATTTATCTCGTTGTTTAGCATGTTTCAGTTTTTGAAGTCTTTTCTTTTGTGGTGTTGTAATTTTAAAAAAAATTTATGCAGTCGCTGGTAGCAAACGAGGAGTTTCAACACATTCTTCGTGTCCAGAACACAAACGTTGATGGCAAGCAGAAGATTATGTTCGCTATGACCTCAATCAAAGGTATTGGTCGTCGTTTTGCCAACATCGTTTGCAAGAAGGCCGATGTCGACATGAACAAGAGGTACTTTATTTTCGTGGTCTCTGTCTTTTTCACTTCTATGAGATCTGATTGAATTGTTTCTGTGGCTTTTAGATGTTAGATCTCTTAGTTATTTGAACATCAAATAAATGTTCATTGTAAACACTAATCCTGTTGCGAGTAGCTCATATTGTTAGTGTTTAAAGATATAAGACAGCTGAATGAACGCCTTATTATAGTTTTTCGGCTGAATGTCAATGCAAGTTTTAGCAGTAGGTTGATTTATGTTGTTTATGTCATCCATTGACTCTGAGTTCCCATATTCAATTTCTTTCTTGACTGCTACAATAGGAATCTCCTTGTGTTTTTAATGTTTGTATGACCAGGCTCATGAATTTGTTGAAAGCTTTTTTTGATGTTTAGATAATAGTTTTCTCTCTTCAATGTGGGACATATCTATCCCTTTCATTCTTGGATTCATTTTCACCATAGAGCAATTTCTCTAATCTAATATATGCAGGGCTGGAGAACTTTCAAATGCTGAGATTGATAATCTGATGACAATCGTGGCCAATCCAAGGCAATTCAAAATCCCAGACTGGTTTTTGAATAGGAAGAAGGATTACAAGGATGGGAAATATTCCCAGGTGACATCGAATGCTCTTGACATGAAGTTGAGAGATGACCTTGAGCGTTTGAAGAAGATCAGGTTAGTTTTTCTATTTTCTTTTATTTGGCCAAAAAATTTGATTTTTTTTAGTTGTTTGAAATGGTTTTTTTTTTATATGGCAGAAACCACCGTGGTCTTCGTCATTACTGGGGTTTGAGAGTGCGTGGACAGCACACCAAGACTACTGGGCGCAGGGGAAAGACTGTTGGTGTGTCAAAGAAGAGATAAGTTATGTTTTTGTTTTCATCAGTTTTGGATGTTTGGGGTTATGTCATGGTGTTATAATTTTACTTTCTTGGATGATGTTTTTGTTAGTCTGTTTTTCAGATCTCATGTTAGAAATTGTTGTTCCGGATATATAGATTATTGATGAATTTTGGCTTTTCTCTGGATTTACATATTACTCTGTGATGTTGCATATTCATATTAAAGCTCATGGTATAATGTATTCATGTTAGCGGGAAGAAACAAAGTCATGATTACAAAACTTGGTTAAAAATTATCCACGTATGGGTTCTAACTGAAAAATTCAAGTGTCATTAAAACACTAGATTAAACAATCTGTGCTCGTATGTAGGGCGTGAGTTTGGATGTATTGGTTTAATCTTTTAATCTGATCAAGTGAATCCAAATTCATTTTGGTTTTTAAAAATCGATAATAGCCCAAATTAAATTCAAATCCAATATAATTAAATTATAATTCAGTAGGTTTGGTTTTGATAATATGATTTTCAAGAAGGAAGAAATTTAAATAAATATATAACTTTAGTCTTAGTTATATCTATAAAAGAAATTAGAGAAAATTATTTAAGTAATCGTGAATTAAAGGTTATAAACAGGTACCAAGAAAATTATAATATAATTTAATATTTAATAGACAAAAAATATTTAATAAGGACTAATTAAGATATTATAATGGTTAAAAAAATTCTAATATTTTAAAACAAATTTAATAAAGTTATATAATATTAAAGTTATATATTATAATAAATAATATAAATAAATAAATAGTACATTTAATCTGTTTTTTTTTCTTCTTCTGAAACTATTTGATTTTTATTTTACAAACCAAAACCAATCATAAATCTAAAAGACTAAACTGTACAAATGGTTTCTGTGGTTTGTTCAAAATTGTCACTTTGGTCCAAAAAAGTTTTGACTAGCACCACAAGTCCAAAGTTTTCATTTTGTTGCGATTTTAGTCAAATTTGATTTAGAAATATTTAAAATGACGGATTTACCCTTTTTACTTTCTTTTTCTATTTTTTTTATTTATTTAAATGTTTTTTCTGATTAAAAGAAAAATAAAAACTAGGTGACCATCCATCGTGAAGAAAAACCCCAAAGTGATTGGGTCGACATACTCTTTGGATCTCGAACCTCCTGAGAATCGACGAGCACCACTGGTGGCATATCAACAACTTCAAATCAAGGCTTCGGTGATTCCGGCAGTGGAGGAGCATTCACCGCCAATCTACAAAAATCGATTTTAGGTTTAGGGTTCACATCAGATTTAGCGATTGTTGTGGAGGAGCATTCGCTGAATGTGGTTTGATGTCGATTTTTGGATTTCTCGGTAGAGGCGAAGGCGGTGGTCGACGAATTACAGTTTCCTACCCTCCAGATTTAGCGATTATTGTGGAATTCGTCTTGATTGTTACGATGGAGAGATCCATTTTGGTGAAGATCATCCCTACATCTACAAAAATCGATTTTAGGTTCAGGGTTCACATCAGAAATTGATTCAGGTTAAGCGATGGTTGTGGAATCCATGTCCTCCCTCTTTCATCTAGTTGATTTGCTCCTGTCTATCTCTCTGATCTTTGTTGAACCAGTTCGTTTGATGTATTTTCGATGGATTGCAGCGGATAACAGATGAATGCTGGAACGGAGGCAACAGGTGGAAGAAAGCAGTGACGTTGGGGTGTTTGATGGCAATGGGTCACGACAAGAGGGGGGCGGAGTGGGCTGAGAACTACGGTGGAAGCCGGTGGTGCTCGTTTCGGCAACTCCTGCTGCTTCTGTTTATTTCTTCCGACGAGGTCGTCGCGTGAGCGATGAGGGGAGGAAGGAGTAATGGTCGAGAATGTTTGGAGCTGTTGTACTTGACTGGAACGAAAATAGAGAGAGAGAGAGAGAGAGAGAGAGATTATTTTTTATTTTTCTTTTAATTAGAAAAAACATTTAAATAAATAAAAAAAATAGAAAAAGAAAGTAAAAAGGGTAAATCCGTCATTTTAAATATTTCTAAATCAAATTGGACTAAAATCGCAACAAAATGAAAACTTTGGACCTGTGATGCTAGTCAAAACTTTTTTGGACCAAAGTGACAATTTTAAGCAAACCACAGGGACCATTTGTGCAGTTTAGTCAATCCAAAATAATAATTCAGTGTTACTGAAAAAATCAAAATAGTTTGATCTAAATTGTTTAATTAAACGATGAGTCTATCCAAATAATAAACAACCTCAAGAATAGGTTCAATGTGCTTTTCTAGCTTTCAAGGATATTGAAAAGTTTGCAAAAATTACCATAAGGCTCTTATGGAGGAGGCAGTCATGGCGGTTTGGGGAGATTGGTTGGGGCGGTACTGCCGGGTTCTGATCCCTTGGCCGGCGGGTTGAGGTGGCTCGAGCGTTTCCTCTAAAAGCTGCCGGAAGAGGAGAGACAATCTTTCATGAGAGAGGGGGGTTTGTATAACCACAACTTTTCTCTCTCTTTCTCTTTCAATTCTTCCATACATTAGTTAATTGTACCTTGAGCTTTAAAACTTATATCAAATTGTGTTTGTTTTTAATTAGTTTTGGTGTTTTTATTAGATATTTTGAATGATTTTAAAGACTTTGTATTTACTTTAAAATTGAAAATTGAGTGAGTTGGAAAAAATATCGTTTGTGTTGTGGGTTGGGAGGGTTACAGTGAGTTAGGAGTGAATGATTACCTCCTCCTTTATCAACATGCTCTTATGGGTTCAAAGGAAAAACCCAAATGCCATAGAATAGAATACACGGCCTACATTAAAATATTTGCCAAAATGATTATCTTTAACCATACACAAATCATGACAAAGTGTGGTTAGACTAATAAGAGAATTGGTGTGACCAAACCTTAAAAACCTCTTAAGATATCAAAGTCCAAACAAAGTCAGTGACAAACTCATGCATATTATGCATTATTCATATGACAAACTCAAGCATATTAACATCATTTATCATATATTTATATAAAACACAAATTTATCATTAAAGCATTCCAAACATCATAATCACTTAAAAGTAATATACTTAATATCTTTACTTATAAAATACAAATGTATTTTACATCTTTCGGTAACAATACAGTAATAACTAAGAGATTGGTTGATAGTTGTCAACTAAATTAGATGTTTGACTCTATCAAGCTTTGGTTAAATATGACCACTTTACCTTTCTGTTATGTACTGTACTCAATAAGATATTTTAGTCGATAAAAATTGTTTAATAATTTATATATAAATCATTTCAAGTTAAATCAAATATAATCAAATCATATCAAATAATCCTTGTATTGATCCAATTGTATGGAGCTTCATAAAATATTTGAGGTGGAGGTGACTTTAAGGGCACTACGCCCTCTTCATCTAATAACTTTAACCATCAACCATACTTTCTTAGTTGGATTAGTAGTTGAGATTACATTGATGCTACTTTTTATGAAAATATAATACAGTAATAAAACGGATGCGGCATGCCATATAGACAATAACCATCGAGATTTAACATCGAAACAAATTAAATTGGCCAAACAAAACTATATAACCACTCCAAAAAACAATATTTAAATTTAAGCCCCAAAAGTACCAAAATATAAAATATCTCTTATAATTAAACTCAATATCCACACTTGCCAAAGTAGGATTGACCAACTAATATTTTAATTTAGTTCGATAAATTGTTAACAATAAAATATCATTACTAATGAGGAGTAATGTTTGAATAAATCTATTCAAACGTCAAAAAGATAACCAAATCAATGAAACTAATAAACATTGATGAATCAAAATTACCAATTAGAAATGAAAAAAAAAACATCTCTTTTATTTATATAACCATCACAATCACAAAACACTTTCTATTTATACCTTTATCATTTCTACATCTAAACACATCCTCATAACAGTCATACATCTTTCTATTTATATCTCAACACCATATCTACATCCCCACTTCATTTCTGTTGGTTGATCTTTGCCGCCGCATCTACCGCCGAAGCTACACCACCAGGATAAGTCGCCAAATCCGGTTTGTTACTTATCTCCGCCGCTATCACCCCTTCAGCATCCACCCTTGTTGCCGGCTTGTCTTTCGGCAACAGTGATGTCGCATCCTGCACCCTCAAACATCAGTCTAATACTCAGAAATATAAAACAGTATCAACTAAACAGAATTAAGATAAGCTAAAGAATTGAGCTTTCAAAAATTGTTGGAAAAAATCATAAAAATGAATTTATTTGCAATCAAATTAAGAACACTTGCCGCCACGACATCTTTAAGCGTAGCTTTGTCCTCCTCTCGCATGGTTCTAACATTCTGGGCGGCGGCTGCCTGAGCTTTCGCAGCTACACCTCCCGGAACCGCCTGCATACGTCCGGTTGCTCTGACTTCAGCTGCCTGTATCGCCGCTGCATCACCCTCGTCCACCGGTTTGCCACCTGCTGACAACCCACTTGCCTCCAACGCTTCTCCTACTGTAATTGCGTCATCGCCTAATTTCGCCGGAGCCGGAGAAGAAGCCAAGTTCGTTCGGACATACTGTCCCAGAACCTGTGAAAATTTACAACTCTGATAAACAAATCTCCGGCAAAGAGTAAAACGCATTAATCGTATATAATTAAGACAGACATAGAGCCAAGGAGGGATGCGATATGTTCTTTGAATCTCTATAGATAACGGATGTTTTTGCAAAAGTTTAGCATAAAAACGTCTCTTAAAGGAAAAATATAGCGGATATTTAAATTCCGTTATCTCTTCGTAGATTCGCTGGCTCCGCTACTTGATTAGAGGTGAGATTGATGAAAGTTGCCTCTCCACCGACGGACTCGGTCACGATTCGGTGCCCGGCGTATTCGGTGTCGGAGATGGCGATGCCCGGGTCACTAAAATCGTAGAGGCCAACAAGGCCACGGTTGTTGTTGACGGCGGCGGACGACTGCATGACGGCAGCTGGACCGCCTTTCTGAGTCTCCCCAAGAACCAAGTTCTCGGCGGCTTGCATGTCGGCTGCATCTTGTGGAGTGATGGGTTTTTTGGCCAACTCGCCGGAGACGTTGAAGACGTCGCCGTACTTGATGGGCTCTTGTGGCTCTTCTTGAGGTTGTGGTCGCTGTGGTTGTTCCTGACTCATTGTCGCCGTGAACGGAGGTGGTACGGTGGTTGATTGAGTGGTACTTCGGAGCCGGCCGGTGATCTTATTGCAAACTCAGAAGCAGACAAATGACACGTGAAAGACTCCAGGATCCGCCATGTCAGCTTTAATGTATGTTGGTTGCTACGTGAGACTACAGATTGCCACGTGTTGTCTACGGTACACGTGGCTCAAACTGGGTTTTCTTGTAAATCAAATTGAGTACCAATGCTACACCTCATTTTTTAAAACATTGCCTCATAATTGTTAGGGTGTCCGGAGTGGTAATAATTGTTAGGGTGTCCGGAGTGGTAAGGAGAAGACACGTGGGAGGCTGACGTGTCAGCCCCCAAGACAAGTGAACACCGCCCCATCTCCGATGGGTTGAGTGTGGCGTCCTCACGGAGACGGGATAAGACGATTGCTCTGATTGATTATTCCTTTGACCGTTGTTGTGACCGTTTGACGCATTAAAATAAATTAATTATTTAATTATTACAACTTTCTCTATATATAACACTCTTTTTTATTTTTATTTCAAACACACTTTTTCAACACAAACACGCATATTCACCAAAAAATATTCCTTCGTCACATATTGTTATGGATCCAAACCAAAATACATTACCCACCCCGAACACTCCAAATGATCCGTAGCGAATCTTAGCTACATGCAATTGATATCATCTTCAATTCAACAACCTCTATTCACCAATCTCCCATACCACCCACACTACTACCAACAATAACAACCACCACAATTCATTCAATCCAAATTTCAAGTCTTTTAATAACAACCTTCTCCGCAATTTCAACCCCAAACTTCCCAATGCAACAAACTTCACAACCATCTCAAGTTTCATTATCTCAATCTCAACCTATAAACCTCGACAATGACGACGACGACGAACGAGTTGAAGAAACACAACCAAGTCGTAGAAAGCAAAAGAAATCAAAAGATCCAAGGACGCAAACGTCAAACCCAAATACTTGGATGTGGTGCTTTCGCATACGACCCACGTTCGTGGTAATTAATACAGGCTCAAAGATTTAATCATGTGCGGCGAACTTCCATGAACATAATTTAAGTGAGTTTTATTATTTATTTTTGTTTATTTTGGTTTTTTTATTGTTTTTATTTTTCGTTAAAAAAATCAATTTTTTTTTAAAATAGATATATGTTCGGTTTTAACGTTTTTATTTTTTGTTTTTTTTTTTTATTTTTTTTATTGTTTTTTTAAATTATTTTTTTATTGTTTTTTTTAATATATTACTACATACTTGAAGATACTAGTGTTTTTCTTTATTTATTTTTTATTCTTTAAACTAAATATCAGTTTGAGTTTTTAATGTTTAACAATTATAAAATTTTAAATAGAATATTAAAGACCATAATATTTTCCGTTCATACTTTTTTTGAATCATATTATTTTTGGATTATAAAATTTTGAATCAAATTAATTTGAATCGTAGTATTTTGAATCAAATTTGTTGATGCATGGAAGTGACCCTCGACAACTATGAAGTGTATTGAAGGACCGAAGACTTGTTTTGTTGGTTGTGGTAGTGCTCCTGTTTTTAGATCAGTTGCGAAGAGTTTTGAAGATCAATACTAAAGACTTAGAATACCATAGTGAAGGATACTGACCCGAAGAAGACTATGATTTGTCTTGTTGTATGTCAAAATGTCAGAAAAGTAATGTTCAACTTTTCTATCATTATGTGTTAGATGAGTTTTGTCAAACCAAGCGTGGCAAGCATGGCCGCTTGACTTAGGAGTATTCTATTGTTTATCATTGTAACACCCTTGATCCAGGTATTTTCCATTTATACCCTTATTATGAAATTTATTTGCAAATTAGTTCCTTAGCTCCTTAAGTGAAAAACGCGCGTATGCCTAGTACGTTGGGCGTACTTCAGCTTATGTCGGGCGTAAGTGGTTGAGGGTCAAACCCTATTTTTTAGGGTTTGAGCCCTATTTAAACATCATTATTTCTTCAAGACCTCTTCCTTCATCAGCCTCCATCTCCTAAATCGCCCCTTGCCAACCCTAATCCATTGTGTGAGCATTTTAAGCTTGAAAGTGTGCTTTTGGTGATCTCGAAGGAAGAAGAAAGACGTGGAATTAACTTGGAAAGCTCAAGGCATCTTAGATCCAGAAGTATCTTGTCCTCAAGCATCATTTGAAGGTATAAAGTTCGGATCTTGATGCATGTTTGCTTTGGATCTTGCTAGTTCTTAGCTTTTTATGCTTTTAGTCCCATAATCTTGGTGTTCCTGAGTATGACTTACTCTAACCCATAAGGGATGTCCTTCCAGACGTTTTTAGGTGCTTAGAACAATAAAAATGTGATCTTGGTCCCTTTCTTTTCTTCATACATGAGATATGAGGTTTTGGTCTGTGTATTAAGTTAGGGTTTAGTTGTTGGACCCTTTTTAGCCTGAAAAAGTCATAAAGTTGTAAACTTTATGACTTAGAATGTTATTTGGAACTAGATCTGAGTTTTGGACGTGGTGTCTTAATAGAATAAGCACTTAATAGAGAAAAAGGAGGTCATCCAAATATGATGGGCGTACCTAGTGGTACGCTGCACGTACCTGGTAGGAACCCCGTAATCGGACCAAGGGTGTACTACGCTGGGCGTAGTGGCTGAGTACGCCGAGCGTACTCAATCTAAGTTGACTCGTCGACTTTTTGAATTTTGACATTTGACCAGGATTTTGACCAAGTTTGACTTAGGGGTATTTTGGGTATTTTAAGTTGTAGTTTGAGTTAGGTCATTGTTTTTTGTATAGGTGACATGTAGAGTTGACTTTTGGAGTAACGTTCTTTTCTGCTATTTTTTCAGACTCTGAGGTGAGTTTCCTCACTGTACTCGTGGGTCGAAGGCACCAATGTCGGCCCATTCGGTTCTGTATCCTGATATATATCTGTTAGATCTGTATGATTATCTGTTTGCTGGTTATATGTTTATCTGTTGTATATGTCGACATAGTGCGGTTGGGTTGAGGCAATACTACTCTGTGCGGAAGCCAACAAACCTAGGAGCAAGACAGACATAAGTTGTGGGTCAGAAAGGAAAGCCAGACTTATGTTGTACGCTCGGGAGCAATCCAAACATGAGTTGTGAGCTAGGAAGGGAAGTCAGACTCATGTTGTGGGCTTAGGGGTAATCCAGCCTGATGGTTGTAGGCCTAATATGCATGTTGTTATATGTGTGTGTGGTGGTATTTTGGAGAACTCGCTAAACTTTGACTTACAGTTTAAGTTTTATGTTTCAGATACTTCAGATGATCGGGGAAAAGCAAAAGTGTGATCGAACACATCCTTTAGTGACATGTTTTGGAGATGTTACGATACATTGATTTTGAAACATTTGTATTTGATCTTGGGTTCTTATGATTTGGGATGATTGAAAAACAATGATTTTTTTTAATTAAAAATGAAAATTTTTATTGTGATTTTGGGATGTTACACATTGATATCAGAGCCCTGGTTTGAAAGAATTGGATGAGCATTCGTGTGAATCCAGACTCAAACTATGGATCTGTAAAAGTTTTCAAAATAATAAATTCCAAAATTGTTTTTAGTTTTATTTTTTATTTTTTATTAATTTTTTTATGGATCTGTAAAAGTTTTCGACTGCTACTATTTTCATCAAAGATAAAATATTAAATGCAATGGCTCGTTTCATCATGATCCAAGCAAGCTGCCAGCATGGCATTCCAAGAGACAACCACCCGAAAGTCACCTACACCATCACATACGCTCTTGGCATCTTTGATTGACCCACACCCTTGGAGTAAGCACTAATTGTAGCATTAAGTATGATACCAAAACCATACCATTATTTAGGGGTTGGCTAAATGGACACCTAATTTTACCATTTAGACACCCTATATAATTTTTAAGGTTTTTACATTGGTAAAAATTACATTGTTTTTTGAAAAAGATAGATTAAAAATAGTTCTCTATTGGTTGACTTTTGATAAAGATGTTTATAGGGTGTCTAAAGGGTGTCTTAATAGCAACACCCCATTATTTATGATTAAAAATAATGGACCTACATTATCAGCTCTTACAAGTCAAGGGCTCAAGGCTATTGATTTTAATTGGTAAAAGTACGTTTGGTTTAAACACAAAAAAAAAAGGCTTTGGTCATTTTTTTAAAGAAATAATTAAATATCTTTTTAGTTTTTTCTTTGAAACGAGTGATTTAAAATATCATTTATTTTATTAAATGTGACATTGAAATAGGTAGGAGATGAGTAGGAAGATAAATTATGAAGATATTTAATTTCTCTTTTTAAATTAACACAATCATAAAAAAGAAAAATATTTTGGTAAACAAAACAAATTTTAAAATATAGTGGTTTTTATAATTATTCAAAGTTTCATATGATAAATAACATATGATTTTAGAAAAAAATATCAATAGTTCAATTAAAAAAGTATCATTCCGATGGTTAGACCAATTTTTTGCCTTTTATTACCGGTATATTTCTGAAATTATATGCAAAAATGAAGATTATGATTTTAAAGAAAAGTTAAGCTGTCAATTTGATATATCTTTCATATACCTACAAATTATGACATTTGACTTATCATTTAGTCTTTTTATTGATAAGATAATAGGTTATAACCCGTGGAAACCACGGTGGGTATATTTAAAGTTGTTATGCAAACAAAAAAAATAATTAAGAAAATGTATCCGTGATTTCTTGGGATACATCTTTTAATAGACTTTTTAAGTGCTAGATATCGTATATTTCAAAAATGTTATTAGGATAAGATTTTTAATTTTGAAAATTGAATTGAAGTTGAATTGTTACACAAACAAAGGAAATCAAAGAAAAATACCATGTGCCAAAGATGCAAGCTAGATAAACGACATGTGACACTTTTAGGTTTTGTTTATTAGGATAGACTATGTTAAAACGTGTGTGATAAACGGATTGACAACTTAAAATAGAAAAATAATACATAATAAATTCCTTGC